TCCACTACAGCCCTTAGTAACGAGGATTAAATAATGGTGAAAATATTATTTTAGCTGCATTTAATCGTGCAAAAGAACTAGATAGTAATTTGAATATATTACCTTCATTAAAGAAATGCAATGCTTGTGAACTTAATGGTTTAAGTAAAAATATATTTGATAGTATTAGATTCAACATTAATTCGGATACTTATTCGGCAACGGATGCAGTTTCTTCATCAGATTCTGAATCTGATTATCATGATGAAACAATGGAAAGTAATGAATTTAATAGTGATCTAATCAATGTGGATGAAGAAGATAAAGATGCGGCAACGACACAAAGTGTTGATGAAAGTAAAACTGAGAAAATAAATTTTACTGGTATGCGTATATTTGATTCGATCAATCTAGCAATGAAGAACTCCTATTTTCAAGTGCAAACAAATAACAAGACTAAATTTATACACAAGCAAACGGCTTGTTGGTTATTAACTGACAAAGCTAGCCGTTTATCGGCTGATAGATTATCACGAGTGATAGAAACAAACAAAAAGGATTAAAATTCTTCATCAGATTGATTTGGATAGATAAAACATTTCTTATAAAAATAAAACACTTCATTCAAAAAGATTCAGTTATCAACTATTACGTTTACTAAGACCAAACAAGCTTGAATTTTTTCCAGCACATTGAAAAAAAACAATAAATAGTTCACCTTTCTGCTAAAATAAAATCGTCGAAAACAAGACAATTTCATTGGTTTCTTATGAGTTTTCATGCACTAAATGTATTTCAAAACTTTCAAAAGAATTCATGAGACTTCATTAGATTTCATGAGACTTCAAGAGACTTCATGAGACTTCATGAGATTTCATGAGACTTCATGAGACTTCATGAGACTTCATGAGATTTCAAGAGACTTCAAAGACTTCAGAGACTTTATGAGACTTTATGATAATTCATAAGACTTCAAAAGACTTCAGAAGACTTCAAAGACTTACAAGACTTCATGAGACTTCACGGCTGAAGTCTCTGCTGGTTCCCCCTTGCTAATGATCTTGTATTTCACGCTAACAAGGGGCGGCATAATTATTATCTAAAATGCCATAAAAAATATATGACTACAACATACACAAACGTAACTTATTAATATAATCAATGCACATTTTCTAATTCACGTCTAATTAGCACTTAAATTGACGAAAGTCTCCTATACTTTCGCCAACTGGCGAAACTCCATGAAGTGTGGTGGCGAAAGTACAGTGGACATTCGCCAATTGACGATATTCCAGTGTGTCTATTGGCGAAAATATAGTGGAGTTTCGCCATTGGCGAAAGTGCTATTTGGCGAAAGTTTTATTGGCGAAGATCCGGAATCCCCATTGACCGTACATAGGTGTTTCATAGATATTATCGATTTACTGCAGTGGTTGAAATATTTAGACCACTCTTCAGTATATTTTGCTAACTTTGACATATAAAAGATACGAAAAGAAACAAAAAAGGTTTTGCCCGTTGATAGTCTCAGTGCATAAATAACATCTATCGAAAAAATCATTGTTATTACAATACTCACCGGTTGTACAAGCGAATCAATCAAACAATTTATTAAAAAAGACAAGGATTGCAATATGATCAAAACAACCAAAGCCACTAATTATGAATTATCTGAAGTAAAAAATCATACAAGCTATTCATAATCTTGATTAAGAAATCTCCATTTGTCTACGACACTTAGAAGAGCTAAAAGAGCAACAGATCGGCACATTAGTGTCAAATTTGAAAGTTCAATTAAATTGAAGAAATAGTCTTCATGCTTTAACTTTCAATTGTCTGTTTCCGTGGTACTCATATCGAGAGAGTGGCTATGTTGATTTGAAAATTGAAGGTTGAAATTTGAATTGAATTCAACTTTCAAGTTTGAGATTTATGAAGATACAATCATTCAAGATTATAATTAACGAGGTTTCTATGATCTCTAGTAAGCTCGAAGTTTGAGCAAATGAAGGCCTAACATTGATTCATCAAGATTGAGGTCTAGTTTGAACCTAGCGTGTGTGAGTATGGTGATTGGTGGGATGAGGATGTGATCATATGCATAGCGGAACCACAGCCACCCTATGTAGTTTTCAGACTCATGAATAAGCAAATCTTCATAATAAATTATCCGATTTCAGAAACTACTTCCAAAGAAAAATAATACCATGAAGAAAGCTCGAAAATTATCATAACTACCGTTAAATCAATCGAAACCATCTGTTCAAAAATTTAGGACTTTCCAGGAAATCTTCGGAAATACGAAAATTTGTCTAGAAATATTTTATGAATGTATATAACTATCCATACAACAGTTAGAACACTCTAACTTGTCAATATTGAAAACTTTAGAAATTTCTATGTTTACATCTTATAAACCTATCTATCATTCTATATGGTAATTGGAAGATCCTACACAGCTAAATATTGGACATTTTCAGGAATTACATGAAAATTTCAGAAATCACTAGAAAATTCGGTGAATTCCGAAATTTCTTTATAAATATGTTACAAATATATCTATGATTTAATATACAACTGAGATTCTTCCCTCTGAAATACTGGAAATTGTGGCAAATTCCGAAATTTCTCTAAAAATATGATATAAACATATCTCTTATTTCATATAGTGATATGAAAACCGCACCCTCTGAAAAATTGCATATTTTCAATTTACAGGCAAATTTTGTTAATCACCAAGAAAATTCTGTAAATATTGCAATTTCTGAGTAATTTTACCAATTTTCAATTTCTCAAAAGGTGGGTGTTCTTCTTATAATAAAAGCACATGCATATGTTTACATAACATATATTAAAAAATTCCTGAATCAACCGAAATTTTTCCGCAGTTTCTAAAATTTAGAATATCTCATGGGGTAAAGTGTTCCTATTATTACGTGAAATGATTGATATATTCATATCACATGTCTGGACAAGTTTTGGAATGTACGAAAATTTCTCATTAATTTCATAAACTTTTTGTAAATTCTACAACTGATAATATTTCACGAATGGGATCTTATTGTTATATGAAATGGGTGGATGTCTGTCCTATACATCTAGAGAAATTTCGAAATTCACTAATGTTTCCTAGCGACATCTGAGGTGTTCCATAAGATTTTGTTTTATTATTTTCCATTAATCATGATGCTACGATGAAACTTTCAAAGATGTGGAAATTTACATTTTTAGAACTCTAAATATACCTCCGTCATTGATGAATTCGATCATCGGTATTCTTTCTTGTGAAAATTATGAATATTAATTATTTTTGGTAGCTAAGTGAAGACAAATACAATGATGAAGGTAGTCTACTTACGCTTAAACTTCGCCTTCAACGTTCAATTATTCTTTTAGTTCTATCAATGATCGAGTATATGACTTACGAATTACTGAGTGAAAGTTGCTGAGTTATTTTTTAACAGATGTTTGCTCTCAAGCGTTATTCTTTCTTGTGATGATTGTTTTCAACGTTATTCTGTATTGTCGATTGCATGTGGTAAGCAACGATGCCTTCTTACTATCGAGTAAAGTTACTTTGTAACATTGGAGGAAAGAAAAAGTAGTAAAAAGAAACATCAATATTGTATTTAGTCTGAGCCAGATGAATCATCGAACCAATAGCAAAAAGTGCACTTGGTGGAGGCACCACATATCCAGACGCTTTTTTGCAAGCTCTTGCGAGTCATAATTTTTCTCATGAAGTGAGTTAAATAATTTAGTCAGATCCGATTTGTTAGCCTAATTTTATTGAGACACGAGAATTGAGACAATTAGAAAACTATTCCAGTCAACTGTCAAATTCCAATTCTTTTTTAATTGGATGCTACTAATAATCAATCAACAATTACATGATTTGATTCTTTTCTTTCTACTTCAACCAGCAGTAATAAGGGTGTTGTTGTGGATGGATGTGGGTAAGAAGATCCAATAGCCACAGTCACAACCACACCCACACCCTAGGTAAAGCCACACACGCGAGTAACAGCTATTCAAAGACCACCTACAAGCCGTAAGACAATTTTTCAAGAACAAGGACATAACACCAAAAGGTCTACAATCAAACATCGTCTACCAAGTCAATTGTACTAGTTGTTCAGCTACATACATAGGAAAGACTGTGAGACAGGCTTGCCGACGCCTGTAAGAGCATGGTGCAACACCTTTAGATGCACCAATGACAAAAGAAAAGCAGGCTTTGAGACATTATGCTAGAATAGCTGCCAATAAGAAGTTTCAGGTCTCTTGTATCGAATCCGAAAGTAGTGATGAAGAACCATTAGGAGGTACTACCAAAACATCACCAGCGATACAGCGTCATATTGCACTTACTAAACATCAGATAGATTGGCATAATGGGTCACTATTCGGCAAAGATAAGCATCATTATAGACTATTAGTTAAAGAATCTCTTGCCAGTGCAGAAAAAGCACCTAGCCTTAATCTAACAACAAGATCAGTACCTCTGATCGTGTTTCCTGAGAGTTTTGCAAAAAGACGTAAAGATATCGCGAAGTCATAACTACACTTCTCACTACATAATTTTCTCGTATAATCGTTAACTCTAATACATTCTATTGTAATTCCCAACATGTAAAATCTTATCTGATCTTTACATTCGTCTTTATTTGATCTTAAATTCATTATAATTCAAAATAATTTTCTCATATAATTGTTAACTCTGATATGTTTTATTGTAATTCCTAACATGTAAAAACTTGTCTGATCTTCACATTTGTCTTCATTTTATCTTAAATTTATTATAATTCAACATAACTATTTGCTACTATATTACTTTAGATTGCTAATTTCCATATTTTAATTTAACTCCTCTTATTCTTTAATTACTGTTCATTATTTTTACTGTTATTTTACACTCTTAATTTTGCTATATAATAGAAGGTCATATAGTGTCTATATATTATTTTTCAGTAAGCGATTTCCTTTTTTTTACTTGATAATGATAATAAATTTATCGAAACGTCGTAAGATGATAATAAAAACTAAATAACTTGTCTTTTCTTTGTTTGCACTGCTGTTAAAAGCTTTCTAATACATACCCATACCCACACCCACACCCCACACTCAGAACAATAATTGAGTAAGATGATGAAATTTTAGTTGGTAAATCAAGTTTATATTCACTATTGCAAATCTTCTCTGGCCAATTGGATTCGCACATAAGGTATTGAAATTGTGCTGTTGTACTTATATAGAGTAAATAGCACATTTGATTATTTGTTTTTTTTGCATATCGACCATGAATTAATTTCAATTTACAATATTTGTTTATCTCTTTAATAATTATTAATTCTGTCGCAGGAAATTTATTTGAATATTGTAGAGTAATACGGAATGGTGGAAACGTTGGTTTGAATGACTTACGACGAGAAGGAGCTGATGAATCATTGTAATTTTTCTTTGGTTGATGATAGATGTTAAAGTATGGAGATGTAATTGATGACGATGTTTTTGCAGTTCCTTGTTGATGTTGATGCAATTTCGTTGAATGTCGACCAGTTGTAGCATCTGAACTATTAAATTGTGTTCGGTTTCGTTTAGGTGTATGACTTGATGATCCATAGTCACTTGGATGTTGAACAGATTGTATTTTGCTAAATAAATGAGCAGTCTGTTTATCTGAACTACTATTTGTCAGAACATATGGATTTAAACTTTTAGTACCATATGCTTCAGTGGTACTCATTGTATCTATTGCTAGATAGATCTTGTATAAATACTCACCTGTATACGACACATGCGCACTTAAAAGATATATGTATATCAGAGAAAGAAAAAAGCGTGGCCGATTTCTATCGTGTGAAGTGATTGAATGAATAAAATACATCTGAATGTAGTATGCTGTCTGCAGCTATTCAACTTTCGATCAAACAAGCTCTTATAGTGAGTTTTTTCTACTCTTTTACTTAGAATACAGCTCACGTACTATATGCAGCATGTTTCGGGTATATGTATTTGACTCTAAAAATTAGGTAAGGGTTTGAGGGTACTATCAACCAAAACTCACACAAAACTCAAACCCGATTTGGGTTTTTGATATTTTTCTTAGGAATATAAACCATGAACATCATATTATCGATGGTAAAATTCAATTCGTGGATTTAAAATAAAACGAAAATATTGAATTACTTTTGTGTCTAATTAAGCGACATGTAAGACATCTTGTATATAAAAATAGAATGCAATACAAAAAAATCGATGAATCTACTCTGAATCAGTTAATCAAAGAACAATCATTGATGCTAGAAGTATGCAAAAACTAAAAAATTAACTTTCGTAGCACAGGCAATAACTATAGGGTGTGGGTGTGGGGTGTGGGTGTGGGTGTGGGTGTGGGGTGTGGGTGTGGGTGTAGATGTGGGATGTGGGTGTGGGTGTAGATGTGAGATGTGGGTGTGGGGTGTGGGTGGATGTGAGTGTGTGCGAGTGGATGTGGGTATGTGTGGGTGTGGGTGTGGATGGGTGTGGGTGTGGGTGTGTGGGTGTCGGTGTGTGGGTGTGGGTGTGGGTGTGG